ACCGTAAGTACATGTATGAAGACACGGAGGATGTGACTCTATTTTGTGTACAACTAGAGATATGAAAAATTGTGCTCTATATGTGTAATACGATTTGTAATGCATTTTGTTGTCATATATAAAAAATCAAAATTTTTAAAAATTCAGAAAAAAAGAAAGCAAATAAGAGGTCTGTTGAAATCCACAAGCTGCTTCTGGAATGAACGATGTCCCACCTCTTATCCCTAAAAGCTAAGAAACTAAGAGCTACCACACTTAATGCAGGATATCTGTTCCTGCCACAGAACACTGTATCCTTAGCCAGAGAGAAGAGAATTGCATGTAATTCCAGGTCCATGGAAGTCCTGATCCCTGGCATCTGTAAGCACTGGTGCCCAACATGCTGATGAATTCATGGAAAACAGCCTCTCAATTCTTTAAAGTACCCTGTGTGTTTATGATCCTGTTACTAATAATGGGCCTGAAGCATCCATGTGAATTAGTATGGTTGCCACAAGAAGAAGCTTTAATAAAAGTTGACAATCTGGAAAAAAATAGAAAGAAACAACTCTTTGTTGCATTGTTCTTTTGTATTTTTATTCTCAATTTTATTAATTTTGACTATAATCTTAATTATTTCCTGTCTTCTACTAATTTTGGAATTAGTTCTTTTTCTAGGGCTTTGATGTATAGCATCAGTTGTGTGTGAGAGATCTATTTTTTAAATGAAGGAATCCTGTGCTAAAAAATTCCCTCTTAGAGTTGCCTTTGTACTGTCCCAGAGATTTCCATATGCCATATTCTATTCTCAGTTTTTTCCTAAGAACTTTTAATTTCTTCCCCAATTTCTTTTCTGTTCCATTCCTCATTCAAAATTTGTTTTTTAATCTCCAGATGTTAAAACAAATTTCTATTTTTTAAAAATCCTGATGATTTCTAATTTAATTCCATTATGACTTGATAAGATACAGGAAATTGTCTCTATTTTTTGGGGGGGGGGTATTTGCTTTGTGCCCTTAAGTATGATTTGTTTTAGATGAAATTCCATGTACTTCTGAGAAGATGAATGTTGATGTATGAAATATTTTATACATGTCTGTTAGGTGCATTTGATTACTAGTATTTTTTAGTTATCAAGAGACTTTACTTAGTTTATATCTGTATGACCTATGTGGTGGTGAGAGAGGTAGGTTGAAATCACTCAGTTTTATTCTATTTTGGTCTATTTGATTCTTTATATTGAGAATGATATGTTTTATGTACATAAGTGTACCAATGTTTGGTGCATAAATGTTTACAATCACTATATCTTGTTGATAGATCATTCCATTAACCAATATAAAGTGACCTTTGGTCTCTTGTGACTAATTCTGGATTGAAGTCTACTTTGTCTTCTTGCATTTGGTCCCCATTTGCATAATATGTCTTTTCCCATTCTTTCACCTTCATTCTGTGAGTATATTTGCCTGTAAGGTGAGTCTTTTGTAAAGAACATATGGTTAGAATTTATTTTAAAATCTATTCTGACAATCTCTCTCTTTTGTTTGGAGAGTTTAGACCATTTACTTCCAGTATTATTACTGAGAGATGATTTTTTATCTCCTGGTATTTTGATTTATTTCTAATGCTTAATTCAGGTTTTATTCTCCTTTTATTTTACTATTTTTTACTGAGATTCATCTCTATGCTGTTTCTCATTTCTATTTTTCATTTCTTCTGCATGAAATATTTGATTAGGTTTTGTAGTACACGATTAGTGGTTAGGAATTACCTTAGTTTCTGCTTATTATGTAAAGTTTTTATTTTGTGTTTAATTCTAAATGATAGTTTTGCTGGATAGTATTGGTGATTGTCACCCATTTTTCTTTCTTGGCATATATTATTCCAAACCCTTCTGGCTTTGGGGGTTTAGGTTAAGGGATCAGTTGAAACCCTTATTGGCTTATCTCTAAATATGACCTGTCATTTTTTTTTCATGCAGCTCTAGATAAAATTCTATCCTTATACTCTATATTAGGTATTTTAATTATAATGTGACTTAGATTTTTTTATCTTGCATGTTTGAGGTTCTAAACACATTTTATATTTGGCTTTCCATCTTGTTCTTAAGGTTTAGAAAAATTTCTAATACTATATTATTGAAAAGGTTGTGAATTCTTTTAGTTTGTATTTCAGTTCCTTTGCCTACACCAATGATTCTTAGATTTGGTCTCTTAATTTATCTCAGACTTCTTGAAATCTGGCCATGGTCTCTTAACATCATTTCTTTATTGTTGGCTTTATTTTCAAGGTTATATGCTTTGTCTTTGAGGCCTGAGAATCTGTCTTCAAAGTGGTCTAATCTATTGGTGATGCCTCCTATTGAATTTTTAATTTGATTTATCGAGTCTCTTATTTCCAGGAATGTAATTTTGTTCTTTTCAGAATCTCTATCTTGTTATTGAAATTATCTTTTATTTCCTGCTTTTTCTCCATATAATCATTTCTTACATCTTCTTTTAACTCATTGAACATCATAATTTTTAACTTTTTTATGGTTGGGGAAATTTGAGGCAGTAGCAAATAATGCATTTTAACATTGAACTTTTGTCAAAAGTCTTTCTCTGACATTTCCTCAACTGTGATGTCAATGGAATCAGTCACTGAAGTTTTGTGGGCTGTTTAGGGTGGCTTGTGTCTTTCCTTTTTCATACTGATTGTTAAGTCTACTCATCTACTAGAAGGATTATCACTTCTATTTTTGTGCAAGGGACTATTTAGCAAGTTTCTTTAAGTGTCCTAGGTGAAGGAAGACACTAAACCCTATTTACTACGGTCATTTTAGAGCAAAGCCTTGTATAATCAGCCTTAGGATAAACAAACACTTGTTGATATGTTCTCTGCAGTTACCCTAATCCAGGTGTAAGATTGTAGTAATGTTCTAGAATAGGTTGAGAAATTATTTATTAAAGATAGTATAATTACTCTTATATTAAAGGGAGAAAAAAAGATTGGATGAAGAAACAAAAGAAAAAAGAAGTGAATAACACAAAGCAAGGTAAAAAGAAGAAAATATGGTTGGGGAAATATGAGGCAGTAACAGGTAATACAAAAGGGAAAAGAGGGGCTAAAAAGAACAAGTGTAAATTTGAGTTAGGGAAAGAGAGAATGATTCCAATTAATGCTTTAAAACATTAGAAGAAATATAATCAAGTGGGTTGAGGGCACAATATTCAATACTAGGGGAACAGTTATTGATTCATAATGAAGAGTAATATATGTGAGATCAAAGTTGACATTAGAGCTATGTACAGTAAACCATGCCAAAGTGGAGAAATTTATTATTGAGTCTTCCTGGTTTAGATTCATCAGGATTTGGGAACTGTTATGATTTCAATTTTAGGAGTCCTCCGGAAGCTCATGTGTGAGACAATGCAAGGCTTAGAAGTGAAATGACTGGGTTATAAGAGCCTTAAACCAATCAGGGCATTAATCCCCTGAAAGGGACTGAGTGATAACTGAAGGCAGATAGGGTGTGGCTGGAGAAGGTGGGTAATTGGGGTATTTATTTTGTATTGGTGACTAGAGTGTCTCTCTTTGGTTGCTGATCACCATGTGAGCTACTTCTCTCCACCACAGTCTTCCACCATGATGTTCTGCCTCACTTCCAGCCCTGAGGAATGGAGCCAGCCTTCTGTGGATTGAGACCTCTGAAATCATGAGCCCCCAAATAAACTTCTCCTCCTCCAAAACTGTTCTTGTCAGGTTTTTAATCACAGCAGCAAAAAAAACCCTGACTAAATCACTCTTAAGCTTTGGATTCTCCTAGAGGTTCTGGGACACAGGAGCTATTTTCCTGTTGTTGTGGATTTCTCACTAGTGGTTCTTGTTTGTCAGCCCAGGGGCATGAGCCTGCATGCTTGAAGGGTGCTGTGTTGTGTCTGCTGGTTTGTTTTTATGTGCTGCATAGCACAGGATGCAGGACTCAGGACTGACAGCTTCAGGATGCTATGCATCTGCTCCCTGCCCCAGGGTCTTTTTTAAAGTGGCATAGAGCCTGGTGACTGTCTATGAGTGTGGGTCCTGTGGTTGTGGGCTATCTGTGGGCGGTCTTTGGCGCAGAAGCCTCCTCCCTGGCTGATGTGGATAATCTGGATACAGTCCCTGTGACTGAGATAGAAAGTCTGTTGGCCCACTCCAATTTGCTGGGAATTTGGGGGGGTAGTGCTAAGACTTGATGGTTACCTGCAACTGTGGGGCCTGAGGGTACAGGTTGTCTGTGGCACAGAAGCCTCTGTCCTGGCTGTTACAGCTCACCATGTTTTTACCTGTCACCATGACGGGGGTAGTATCAGTTGGCTCATCTTTGCCTGAACTCCTATGGAGGCTGTGTTGATCTCTGGGCCAGAGTTAGCACCTCCCCCCCCGCCAGAGTAAATTATCTCCTGGGTCAGCTCCACCTCACTCCCCTTGTTCATAGTGAGAGGGAGGGGGTTTCAGTAACTTTCAGCTAGTAACATTCCCTCTATAAGCTTCTCTAGAGGGATTACTGAGAGAACCCACTTCAGAAGTATTTCCACTGGTATTATTTGTTGCTGACAGAAGGTGGGCAGTAGCTATGTTGATTTAATTTCTTCTAGGGAGGGTGGTTCGTTGTGGACTCTGCAAAATGGCTGCCATGCCTGGCACAACTTACAGGCTATAATTTGGGTGAAATTGCCTGAACTCCTTCACTGTCCTTGGATTATTCCTGACACATTTGAACTTGGTCTTCTTTTCTTTCTAGCTGTTGTGAAGGAAGTGAGCGTATGTACTTGTCTTCTCTTTCTTTCTCTCATTGTTACTCTTCCCCTGTAACCCCACCCTGAGCAGGGTTCAGAATCAAGGAATTGTGTCATTATTTTCTGCTCTGATAACCAAACTCCATGTCCCGATAAGTCTCTAACTTCCAGTATGGAGTTTTAGAGTATCTGTATTGTCACATATCTCTCTGGCGAACTGTTCTTTTTTTTTTTTTTTAATCTTCTCTTTTTTTTATTAATTTATTTTTTTATTGGTTGTTCAAAACATTATAAAGCTCTTGACATATCATACTTCATACAATAGATTCAAGTTGGTTATGAACTCCCAATTTTACCCCAAATACAGATTGCAGAATCACATCCGTTACACATCCACATTTTTACATAATGCCCTATTAGTAACTGTTGTATTCTGCTACCTTTCCTATCCTCTACCATCCCCCCTCCCTCCCCTCCCATCTTCTCTCTCTACCCCATCCACTGTAGTTCATTTCTCTCCTTGTTTATTCTTTCACTGCTTCTTTTCTGGGATGAGGGAGGGTTGAAGGTTGCTGGATGCCCAGATCCACTCTTCTTTTTTTTTCCACAGATCTTTCTTTCAATGCACCTGTTCTTTTCAGTACTCTTTGAAGACATAAATAAGATTTATATGGGTAATTAGAGAAGTTTTTTTTTTATTTTTGATGTCTTAAACAGATAATTAAGTATGTAAGCAAAAATAGTAACAGTATTTTGAATTTGATAATAGATATTAAAGAAAAACACATGCCAAAGAGTCAAAGGTCAAGAGGGATAAATGGAAATATTCAGCTATCAAGTTTTTATAAGGTTTAGTTTCTCTTTGTTTCTAATGTTTTGAGGAATCCTTGTCCTAGAGTGATGTTTATATAATATCTAACAATGTTTGTCCATGTGTTTTATTTAGTGCTTTGGTTGTCAAAGGCAGGAGAGCTTCGTTGACATTCCCACTAGCAATGTATGAAGGTCCCCATTTTAATTTCTCCACATCCTGATCAACACTTATTATGATATACATATATAATCATTTTCATGGTGACATAGTATTTTATGGTTTTGATTCATATTTCTCTGATGATTTTAGAATATCTTTATTTCATCTTTATTAATCATTAATAAATGATTATATAATCATTTTATATAATCATTTTAATGGTGACATAGTATTTTATGGTTTTGATTCATATTTCTCTGATGATTTTAGAATATCTTTATTTCATCTTTATTTTTGAAAAATAGTTCTGTCTTCTGATTCTTTCTAGCACTATTAATGACCCTAGTATTTCCAGTGGGCCCCCTTGGATAATCCAGAACAAGTTCTTTAAGGTCTAGCTGATTGGAAGCTTTGATTCTGCCACCTTAGTTCTGCTTTGCCATGTAACTTAGTGTGTTCACTAGTTCCAGAGATTAGGCATGGGCATCTGTAGCTGGCTGTTCTTTTGAGAAGGCAAAAAAGAGGGCCGGTAGTTAGTTGACTCTGAGAAAAGCAATGTGTAGAAGATCTTTGTGGAGATGTTAGAGAAACTAGAGAGATCAGTAGGTGAGAGAGGGACTTGGTAGAGAGCTAAGAACTTCAAAATCATATGAGGCAAACAAGAGATAATTTTGAGTCTTAGAAGATGGGTTAGTAGTTTATAATTTAATACATTTTGTGATATCACCAGAATTTGTGTTGTCATTATAATTGCTTTGATGATATTTGAGTTTAATTTTTTAATGTATAAAATTTCATATCTTTCTGAGAGAAAAAGATGGATTTTTGAAGAGTGAAGAAACTCTGATTAATTGGTGAGAGAGACAAGATCATGAATACATGTGTGAGGGCTGGATTTTAAAAAGAAAGGCAATACTGCTTCCTCTGACCCTGGAGTAAGAGGTTAGCTGGGTTTCAGTGGTGAAAATGTACGAAAAAGGATTTCATGTTCAGCATGAAATTTTCTTTCCACTAGAAAATCTTTGACCCTTGGCAACCTAACCACATCTCATCTCTTTCTGAGGATAAACTAATTTTGATGAATAGTGAAATAAGAATCACCTCTTTAACCTCTCCAAAGAGAAAAAATAAGCAACCTCTTTTCCTTGGTAGATTATTACAGAGTTGTATGTAAATTCTGTGAAATGACTGACAATTATACCAAAGAAACCCAGTTTGCACCCCCTGAGATACTTACACTGAGCAACAGTTCTAGTTCTAGTCAAAGTCAGATATGTTCACAAATTTGGAAGAATTTAAATTCTTTTCATCTGACATCCCTTAGAGATGAGCTCAGTTTCTATACACTTTTAAATAACATTGAACATTGAAAAAAAGTATGCTGAATATTCAATTTTAATAATTTTGACAGTTTTTTCCTAGTAGTAATTTCACCTTGCATAGAAATTGCCACAAGCAATTTTTTCCCCAAAACATAGATGCAGCTTCAGGGATTTATAAACACTACACAATAATCAAGAAACATGACCTCAAGTGTTCTTATTTGAGCATTTTCTTTTCTACAAGGAAATAGATATTTTTTCCTTCCTTTATTCGCCAAATACAACACATTGAATAGTTATTAAAATTCACTGTTGGCTATGTCTGTGGGGATTACAAACCTAGTTAAAAGTGCAAGGGAGCTGGAATTACAAAAATTGTCCCAATAAAGAGGTACAGAAGAGTAGCTTGCTTGCATGTTTTGTTGAATAATATTGAAAATTATAAAGTTAATGTATTGATTCTGGTTGCTGTATTCTATTGGAAAAAAATTGACAGTGGGTGCTATAAAATCACCTAGCTTATAACTTCCAAAGGATAGCAAAGAGTTCATTAATTATGCTTTAGGTTATTAAATGAGGGATGTTGACACTTGTATCTCCAGGCCATTCTGTGAGGAAGGTGTTTGCTGAGGCTGACTCTGTAAAGAACAGGTTGTGGAGTACAGATTGTCTATCCAAGATCTTCCCATATGAGGTTGACTTGGGGAGTATCTGCTTCCAAACTCACTCACTTTGTACCCTCTTTGCTGTTGTTGTATCTTAGGCTTTCTTTTTTTCTTCTGTTTGCTGGGGTTATAAGGTTATAAGTTTCTTGATACATGGGCTCCTCTTTGGGGCAGTTCACATGACATCTGGATGAGAAGGTTGGGGAAATCATTGGCTTTCTGGAACATAATTCTATGAATGATATCCTGTTCCTTTTCCCAATTCCTCACTAAAGTAATTTACCAGATCCAGCCCTCAAAGGGAGGGGATGGCACAAGGGAAAGAATCCCTGTGGGCAAGGACTACCTTTGAGGATGCCACTAAGATGTAAGTGACTTTATTAAGGTAGCATGAACAGAGCCACAGTACTTGCATTTGTAATTCACATTTTCTGAATTTGGCTTTTAGTCATTTTATTGTTTTGTTTTCAGAGTTATTATTTAATGAGATCAAAGCAGGAATCAGAATGAAAATTTTACAATGACAACATTGAAGTCAGCAGTACCCCCTCTGGCACTGTCACTCAAGTTTTCTGAGATTTGTAATATCACAACCTCTACTTCCTCTAAAACCATCTGTTTAAAATGCTTCATCAAAATCTGTTACATTTTTAAGGATCCACCTATATGATAATGTTTCTTTGTTGGATTTACTGTGCTATCCATAGGACTTTGAGGAGTGGGATATTAAAACCTGATATTTTTCTTTGAAAATATTTTACTTTGAAGTTAATTTAGTTTTCTAGGTTTTCCTCCAAAAGGGTAAATAGTAAAAATAATACAATACAATACAAATAAATACAAATGCAAAATCTATCTCATAAATTCAGAAAATACTCTCTGACTCTTTGGAAAATTTTTTTTTAAAAAAATCACACACTGTAGTTTTTAAGTCTTTGTGCACAATTTCTATGGTAAGAATAATAAGATAGGGGCTGGAATTATAGCTTGCGGGTACAGCACTTGCCTTGCATGTGTGAGGCACTGGGTTCAATCCCCAGCACCACATAAAATAATAAATAACTAAAATAAAGATATCGTTCCCATGTATAACTAAAAAAATTTAAAAAAGAATAATAAGATATTAAACACTTGTCCTCTTAGTAAGATCAGAAGGGCCTAAGGCATTTCCTATAGATAGTATGGTATGAGTTCCATTATATTTTTAAAACACACTGGCCACATTTCTCAAAGATACTGTTAACACTTGATTTATCTAAACCTATATCTTATAAAAACATTATGGCTTTGGGAAAACTTCTAACACTCTCTCCTTACTTGTAAAGGGAGATAAAAATGTATTAAATATAGTACCTTGATGCACAGTTATTTTGTGATAAATGATAAAATATAATATTGGTAAAGTATTTGTTTAGCTCTTTGCTAAGATCCCCAAAATAATGCTTGGCATTTACTAAATGATCAGTTCATGGTTACTATTAAATAATGCATACAGGTAAGTACCTTAGAGAAAATCAATTTTTAACAAAGATGACAATTGTAATTATCTGTTGAACAATGAAATAGATTTTTACAGTGGATCAGTTAGAGTTTTCTCACTGGAAATCATCAAACAGAAGATATAGAGCCACCTATTAGGAACTAGAAAGGATTATTTAGGTAATTTATTTGCCTTCCTGACCTTAAGTTATAATATGTTACAACTGCTTTTTTAGAATTGATAGATCAATAGGCTTACCTCTATTCAAGGACTGAAGGGCATAGCTGTAATTTGAATGTCTCTCCATGATATTCTCTGCACAACCGGGATATAGAAATAAGTTATTTTGACCTCTAAAATTTTGGTTTATTTCACTTGAACTGGAATTAATAGTTCAAAATTGTTTGAAAAAGACTAAGTTTCCCTTCAAGATAAATTAAATATTATAGTTTTTTCAGATTTTCAAAGCAAAAATGAAGTTGTATCTATTATATATCAAAGTAATTATTGATTCAATAACATCTTAGAAGAGATAATTCAAGTTTTGAATGGTTATTTCTCTGAATTATCAGTAAATTGCATCAAACAATTATTTTAACAGAATAATTATAACTAGTAGCCACAATAGTCAGAAATATGGGGATTCTAATCCAAGTTTAACCCTAGTTCTCAATGCTAAAACACCTTGAGTAAGTTGCTTACCCTTTCTACCAGGCGGTATCAGGTTAGCACCTACCACTTTACAGCTCTTCAACATGAACGAAGATAGTGGAATTTAAGTGCTAACAGTGCCTGTTATTAAAGCACTACCGGTTAGCTCTAAGTTTTAGTCTTCTATTATGCATGGACTAAGTCTGAGCTTTCTTTTCTTCTGTAAGTATTAAGCATTTGGCTTCAAATCTGTGCTATTTTCTTAACAGAGCACCAGGAGAGGAAGTAGCAAAGTAAATGAGTCCTCTATGTCTGACCTTTAGACCGCTGTTGCAATATATGATTTCCTAATCTCAACTCAGTGGAGTAACAAGAACAGACACATATTCCCAGAGTGACTTTCTCTGACAACTCACACAGTAGACTAGAGAGGAATGGAATGGGCTGAGTCCCATTTTAATCCTAAAAATTTTAGATTTTTCTTCTTTTCTCTTTCTTCTTGATATGTTCTGAAAATAGTTTCCACGAGTTGAATTCCATGGCTTTTTTTTAAAAAAAAAAATTGTTCTTTTTAGATATACATGATGCTAACACAAAACTCAGAGGGAGGGTAAGAATAGAAGCCATATCTTTTCTCTAGAATACTATCAAATGTGTATTTAAAAGTTTGGCTGTTTTTTATATTCTCTGTAGTTCAAAGTGTGTATTTCTTAATAGGCTTAATGTTTCTAATTTTTTAGCATTAAGTTTCGTGATGTTTATATCACACTAATATTTGATATTGACATATTTGCAACTATTTTAAGCTGGATATCTTATGAGTGATGTTTTGCAAACAGGAATTTCCTTTCTTTCCTTAGTTATTATTGTTTACATAGCATCACTGCCATCACTGAATTTTCTCCACTGCTTCTCTTATTAAATTCATTGTTGCAAGGTTGGCTTGGCTATTTCTTAACCCTGCTTTGAAAAATGCATTTTAAAGCAGAGTTGAAGCCAAGAAAAATGACTGGTAGACACTCACCTAAGTAGTCCTCTTCTTGGGTCTTCAGAGATTATTTCTTATAATAGGCTGATGGAATGTTCCTTTTTGCATATTATTTTAATAAATTTTTTTTTAAAAAATAGTTTCACTGTTTTTAGAATAGATTGTGGAAAATTGCTAAGATAATACAATACAGAGGGTTCTCACACACCCAGCACTCAACTTCCCTTATTATGATCTTACACTATTAGGGTACATTTGTTACAATCAACAAATAAAAAATCGATACTTTGTTGCTAATAGAATTCTGTCTTTTTATTCAGGTTTTCTTAGTTTGTACTGTATGTCCATTTTCTGTTCAGAACACCCCTTTACATGTAGTTGTCAGGTGTCTTTAGGCTCCTCCTGGCTGTGACAGTTTCCAGACTACCCCTGCTTTTGTTGATCTCAACAGTTCTGAGTAGTGGTCTGGTATCTTGTAGAATGTTGTTCAACTGGAGCTTGTCTTAGAGTTTTATTGTTATGAGACTGAGATTATAGGTTTCTGGGGTATATTACCACAGGTTAAATTGTCATTCTCATATCATATCAACATAACTTATCACTATGTATTAACCTTGATCAGCTGCTTTTTTTGTATATTTTAAAGATAATTCTAAAAATTATTACCACTTAAAATTATTAGACTATTTTAAAAATAAATATTCTGAAAGGCTCATTTGGATACCAAGTATCTATACCAAGTATCTATGCATGAATATATTCATAATTGGGACTATTTGCTCTAGAGCAACTTCTCTGCTGTTTCATTACACATATCCTCTATTGGCACTGTGGAGGGGAAGCTGAGCAAGGGACTGTTCAAAATCATTAACCCACCCAGGGAAGAATTCGAATATGGGCTGGTGGTATAGGAGTGAAAGTGAATTTAGTGCCTTGAAAGAGGGTCCTGTGGGAAATAAATAGTGGTGAGAACCCATATATGTGAGCTCTTCATCCTGGAAGAAATCTGTTTCCAGAGATGAAATAGAGCACCAGACTACAAAGTACTGGAGAATCTCAATGTGCTAAATGAGAGGATAGATCTATTGAAGAAAATGCAACCCACACTCTCATGTGCATGTGTGTTCTCAGTACTTTAGAGTGAATCTGGACTGAAGAGGGCAAGACTAATTTCCTACCTGCTCCCTGAAATACATTGGATGTCCTGGACAAGACAAGTCTTGACTGGACTTGCTGAGAGATGATTTTATGACCCCAGCTATGCCTGTGGGAAAGAAATGGACTGGTATAAGTAGAGTGTCAATGAAGTAACTCTGCTCATTCATTTGCATGACAGAATGTTGCAGAGAGCTCAGTGATTAAGCTGTAGAGTCAGAAGCATAGCCAGAATTACCCTCAACTTTCCTGTTCTTTATTCCTGTACCTGTTCCTATTCCTTTACCTTCTAAATAGTTTTGAAAAATCCCCATAAAAGGTTATTTACATTTTTCTGTCATATCTTAATTTTTAAATTATATTTATATTACATATTTTATCATCATAGGATCCAATCATACCAAAGTTTGTTATTTTGTGCTGCTTCTGTTAGGCACCAGATAGATTTTCCAACAAAGCATTGATTTATTTTCATTGATTATAAAAGGTAATAAACTTTATTTTATTTCTGCCTCTGATGTAAGAGAGAAAAGCAATTTCCATTGATTCTTACATTATGGGGTTATACTTCAGAGGACTATTTCTTTTAAAAGCAGAGGAATATATATATGTCCTTTACACATAAGGCAAATTAGATCTTAGGGTTGCTGACGGGATAAATGTGAAATAGTTTGCACTATGTGGGGGTGAAAGCTGATGAATTTCTTGCTACCTATTCTATCTGAAGAAGAACTAAGTATCTCTTCTGTTACTGTCTTAAATAGGTTTAGAAATTTTCATAAATTGCATTTTTCACTTTTTAATCAAAATGGACTGTAGCATCCAAATGTCATGAACTCAAACTTTATTAAAATTGGTTTCTTCATAAGACTTTTATTAGCTTCTCTTTGTTTACTCTTTCCACAATTGTTCTTTTAACACATTGTACTTTGGGTTTGAAATGATCTTTAAAAAGTGTTCTCTAATATGTGACCTAAAACAAAATTGAATCTTGAATAAGAACTCACTTTCAATGACTATTTTAAAAAGACACCATTGTTGTTAGGTATACTGGCAAAGATATCTTAATCTAACTAGGAACAACTTTGTCCTGTTCCATTTTGTGTTGCTGTAACGAAATGCCTGAGGCTGGGTAATGTAGAGAGAAAGGGAATTCATCTTAGCTCATGTTCTTGAAGTCCAAGAGCATATCTGCTCCATATCTGCATAGTTATATTATGTTGGAGAAGATGAAAGGGAAGTGGGTATGTGCAGAAGGAGCACATATCTGAAAGAGAACAAGGACCAAGGTGGGGTGCCAGACTTACTTTATTTTTAACAAACTGCTTGCAAAAGAACTAATCCAGTCTGAAGAGAACTAAACCAGTCCTTGAGAAAAGCATTAATGAGGGCAAATCCCTCAAGATCCCAAACACCTCTTACAAGCCCATCTACCTTTCAGTATTGTTACATTGGAGACCAAGCCTCAACATGAGTTTGATAGGATCAAATCAAACCCTATTTGATTAAAACCATAACATTTATTAAAACCATAACATTTCATTTCTGGACCCCTAAAATTTATGTCCTTACAAACAAAATACCATTATTCCATCCCCAAATCTTAATTTGTTCCAATGTCAACTCAAAAATCCAAATTCCAAATGTCTCACCTGAAACTCATGGCAAATTCCTTCTAGCTATAATTTATAAAGTAAAAAAAAAAACAAGTTATCAACTTCTAACATATATACTGGTGGGACGGGGATAGGTAGTCAGTCATTCCTATTTCAAAAGGGAGAAATTGGACAGAAGAAAGAAGTAACTAGCCCAAAGTGAGTACCAAACCCAGTATGTCAGACATCTTGGAGCTGGGAGAATAATCTTTTACTCTGTGTGCTTTTTCCTGGACATACTGGGGAAGGTGTCGGGTCCCCACAGCTTTGCTGGGTTCAGTCCACATGGCTGCTCTCTTGGGCTGGAGTTGCTGACTAGTGCCTGTGGTTTTTCCAGGGGGGCACTGCATGCTACCAGCTGCTGTTCTGGGAGAGTCCTGCTCCCCAGGCTCCACAAACCATTTGTTGCCCTATAAATAATTCCCTAGAATAATTCTACCCTTGTGGTGAATTTTGCCTGGGCCTCCAGGTTTTTGCAACATCCTCTGAAAACTGGTTGGAGGCCACCATGCCTCGACGGCACTTGAATTCTTCATTTCTACAACATTGTCAGTAAAGCACATGGACGCTCCCACGCTTGTATTCGCAAAACTGGCAGGTGAAGCAATACCTGAGGCCCCTTGAGCTATATCTGAGGTGGATGAGTCCTGCACTAGGGTGTGGGGAGCACAGTGCTGAGTTGACCTTGGACAGCAGTAGCCCAGGCCTGTTTCCCAACACCATTCTGTGCTCCTACAGCTTTGGGCCTGTAAAGAGAGGGGCAATCCCCAGGGTCTCCAAAGTGCCCTTGGAGCATTTCCCCCCAATTGTTTTGCCTATTAACACCTGGCTGCCTTCTGTTCATGCTAATTTCTTTAGCAACCTGTTACTGGGCTGCACTCCAGCACACCCTTTATCTATATGGCCGAGCTGTGAATTTTTCAAATCCTTGTGCTCTGCTTTTCTTTTATTTATAAATTGTATGTTTAAATCATTTCTTTCCTCTCTTATTTTAGTGTAAGTGATTAAAAATAATCACAGAGCTGCCTAAGTGCTTGGCTGTTCAGAAATTTCTTCTGTGTGAAATCCTAGTTTATCATGCTTAAGTTCTATCTTCCATAAAGCCCTGGAGCACAGACACAACACACACCAATTTTTTTCTACTTCATAGCAAGGATAGCCACTACTCCAGATTCCAATAAGATTTATTCATTTCTATCTGAGACTCCATGAACATGGCCTTTACTATAAGTATTTGTATCAGTTTTCTGATCATGACTACATAACCAATCTCTAAGAAGTTTCATGATTCCCCTAGTTTTTTTTTTGTCTTCTTAGCTCTTTCCCTAATCATCCTTAAATGCTTCCTTTACAACATACTAAGCTTTTTGTAGCTTGTTTTTTTTTCCAAATTCTTCCAACCTCTGCCTATTACACAGTTCTAAAGCTGATTCCATATTTTCATGTGTGATTATAGCAACACTCCGCTTCTTGGTACCAATTGCCCGTATTAATC